CTCCTATTTAGTTCCTCTTTCAGAGAGTTCTCCATGTTTATCGAACGTCCGAGATATACGTAAGACGTCTCTGCGATTGGAGTGCCGTCTAATTCCATTTCCTAATCCTCGCAAAAAGCGATTGATTCGCAGTTCGATGGCGCTAACCATTTTAAATACGTCCATTTATATGCAACAGTGAACCTGACTCATTAATAATAAGATAAAGCAAAGTTTAAGTCTTGTTCAGAGCAGTAGTTTAACACTAAGACTACTTTAGCCCATGCCTAAATACAAATAAACTCCATTTTTGGTATTCCCTACTCGTAGCGTTACGTACTCGTTACTTCTGTCGTGCGCCCAAATAACCAGATTCAAACTCATATCTTCCACATCCACTATATCATCTGCATCTGCATCTGTCAGTGTGACACCTACTCGACAAAATAAGCGAGGAATTTCGAAAACGATGCCTGGTTCCATTAGAGGGTAGGAGAAGTTTAAGTATAGGCAGATTCCTCTTCCAAAGTTCAAGCAACTCCATTAATTGATTTCAAACTCGGGTATTTGCTACCTACAACATTCAATATTAATGCCTGAGCACTCTATCTTAAAAGACTATACTTTATTGATTAGTTCTGTCTACCATGCTATTGATAACAAGAGATTAAGTTTTAAAATATGAACGTAATTGCAGGGTGACTGATATATGGCGCTCATACTTTGCCCAGAAACTTTTGCATCTCGTTGGCGAAAGAGTGGCTTTTTATCCAGTGAATGCTATACAATTTAGAAATGCACACGACTATTTGGCTGATTTTGAACAAGAGTTGTGAGTAATTGCCGAGCTATTCTTTTTTTTTGTTATTAGTAAAATTGACCATTCAGAGATGTGTATATGAAATCTGGAGAATTTGTAGAATTGCTCGAATCATGGCATTGCGAATCCAGCGATATCAGCACGTGCGCAGTAGAACTTGCTGAAGAGTTGGGGTCAGTCTATATTCTTAGCTATCTACCAATTTATATACCCAGTTTAATAAATTTTAGGCGGCTAGGCTTCTGGCAGAAGAAAGACGCTCACTTGGTGAAGCTATGGATAGATGATCTCAAATCAGTAGGGTACTGTAATATAAATAGAGATGCTAGATGCTGAAAGTTTTACAGAATGTCGTTTGCTTTAAGGTACGATTTCCCCAAAATGATAACTAAACCACTCTCGGCAGACTGCATTGGTAGCATGGACAACGGACCAACTTGTCATTCAGCTCATATTGAACTCATCACAGATATGCCTCTAAACCACAGCAAAAAGGTAAAAAA